AGGAAAAATGAAGTTAAAATCTTGTCTATTATATAGTGAACAATATGGTGCTAGATCATTTATGAACTTTTAAGATAATATAGCCATACCTTTACAGCCATCATCGAGGTATGGATTACCTTCAAAACCTTTCTGGCAATGGCAACGATACCCATAACCATTATCGGGTTCATAACACTCGGACTTCTCACTTTTACATGCATAACTAGAAATGTTATTTCGAGCCTCCTCACAAGTTTCTTCTCCAACTGCCCAGTCAACCACCATTGGAAGCTCTTTCACATTCCTCAGGTTGGAAAGATTACTTGCGGAGAAAGTGAATGCCCTTTCTTCAGCTAGAAAACCATAGCTGCAGTTATTGAAGTCCCACACAGTTGTCAAATTATTATCATAGCTTTCAGTGAAATTATGATAGCTCATTAACGTCACCTGAACATCCCACACCCCTTTTGGGATACTCGTCTGGCAACATCCTACACCGGAACACGAGCCATACACCAGATCATCTTTGCTGGTACACACAGAAGTGCACCCTGTCTCATAAGTTCGGTTTTCCCGGCTCCCAAATACAAAAGCGTAAGTATCACAGCCAATGACAAAGAACTTATTGGCAGTATTACTGACCGTGAATCCATCGGGCATTGTTATACTGGGTTCATTATTTGACACTCTGGTGCCATCCCGAGAATAACAATCTTTTGCTATGAATAGCATGACACGCATTTGGCCCTCTAGGGATATGCTTGTGATATCTATGTTTGAGTCTCCCAAGAATGGTTTGGGAGGATCATAGTGGGTGTCATTACAAGTGACTAAGAATGTTTCGTTATAGTAACAGCCTTCCCTCGTGCCGAAAGGGAAGGGAATACTTATATTTCCACAATGATCCGCACAGTTGGGCTTTGCAATTTGGAAATTTGATTGAGTAGAAACTGATCTTGAAACAAAAATAAGCAGAATTGCTATATTTAGTTTCTTCCTTATTACAGGATAGGAACCTGAACTTTTATTGTGTTTGACACGCTTGGCTTATGTTTCCGAAAGATCGTTTTATACAAGGAAAAAACGCTCTGTGGCGAAAATAGACGGAAGTGAGAGAAAAGCCCAAAAATCCTAGATCTAGGGTTCGAGGTGGGGATTTCCACCATGGACCCTGCCTTGTCGGTGCAACCAGCGCCAGCAGGGCTTACCGGCGAGCATACGGTGAGATTTAATGGGAAGCAGAGGTACAGATCATATTCGGAGGTCGTGAATCCGAGTGAGAGAGAGGGGAAAATGAGGACGGCGAACACACCCATCACGATGAGAGAACCAGAGATGATTAATGGGGAACTTGGATTCATCTTCTCGGACGTGGAGGAAAAATGCCTGGCTGAAGACCTCCGGTTTGCATTGGTGATGAAGTTCCTCTCGGTGAGGCCGAACATTGATGATATTCGACGGACGATTTTCAAAACGTGGTGTCTTCAGGCGATTCCAGTAATCAGTTTTATGGA